CGGACTGGCAATTAGGTCGTATCATTGCAGTCCACCCCGGTAAAGATTCAATTGTACGTGCAGCAACCATTCAAACTCGAGATGGTGTACTTATACGTCCAGTCGTCAAATTAGTGAAACTACCAGTATCCGACTCATCCATCCCTTGATCAATCATTTATTCCTAAATTTTCTTTCTTTCTTTTTTTTTTTTGCACTTTATGTTATCTTAGTTTTAAGCATTCAGGTGATTTTTTGTCAAGATGAGCTGATCTAATTTTTTTGAAAGTCTACGTCTTTCAACGCTGGGAGAATGTTCGGTCCTATAACATATCAACAATAAGGCGCAGTTGGTAACACTTCCGCGTGTCCTGGCTTGGACGAGTTGGTAACGCGTATGGTGATCATATATGTTTTCTCCTTTTCGTCGCCAGGACAGGAGTGTAAAACGCGCTCTGAACTGCGTATTATTATTCACTTTTTCGTATGTCTTTGTGTTTTGTGGTTGTATTCCGGTTGTACGTGCGCCTTCGTCGCCATTTTTCTATCGCCTTCGGTTTTGAACATGTGACACGTGCGCCTTCGTCGCCATTAATTAAGTGCGCCTTCATCGTTCTTTGGGATATAATACGACGCCTTTGTCGTCGTATACGTGATACGTGCACTTTCGTCGCCGTTAGTTAATTACGCCTTCGTCGCTTTTTGGGTTATAATACGACGCCTTCGTCATCGTAAACGTGATACGTACGCCTTCGTCGTCGTTCAATAAGTGAGCCTTTGACGCCATTTTAATAAGTGCGTCTTCGCCGTATTTGTTGAAATTATATGATGCCCATCATCATTATACTTATATGAAACTCAATTTAGTGTGGACGTGGATAATTTCGGTTACCTGTCATCGTGGCACCGTTTGGAGATAGGTCAACCTTTTAATTATTTTTATGAAAACAAAATATATTTGTTCTGTACGTCCATTGGGGACATTTATTTTATATATATATTTTATTATACGTTGCTCCCCCCCCCTCTTTTTGCCTTTAGTTCGTAAGCTTATTCAATGTTTATTTAATTTAATCTAAAAAGACTTTGTATTTTGATAAACCAATTGCTGATCATTTTTATTATATCTCTCCTCCTTCATCCTTTGATTTTCCATTTATACGTGTGGCAGTCCACCGGATTCTGCCGTTGCGATAAGCTCTCGTAACATACACCTGCGAGAATTTCGCGCGTATATTTTGGTCCTTCGAGCCGGATATTTGCCGAGATAATATATTTGAAAAATGGGTAAACCCAAGACAGATACATCTAAAAAGAAGTTAACGCACGCGCGTGCTGTGCGTGATCAAACTGACAAGTCTATCCATAGCATACATTCGATGGCTGTCAAATTCAATAATAATGGTGCGTTGATTGAAGATTTGGCAGTTTGCATGGATAAATTAGAAACTTTATTCAAATTATTTCAAGAACAACAAAATATGATTTTGGATGTCCTAATAGAACTCAATATCGTCGATGAATTTTCCGTTGATTCAAACGTAACAATCTCCACAGAAGAGTTGTACTACAATACTTATTCTATAGCCAATAAATTACTTAGTGTTAAACCAATGAATAGTTCTGTGTTAAACGCCCCGCATATATCGACTTCCACGTCTTTTGTTTTAGCATTACCTAAAATCGATTTGCCTAAATATGATGGTAACTTAATTCAATGGAAACCTTTCCGTGATAAGTTTGTATCCTTAATACGCCGAAATGACAATCTAAGTAAAATTGACCGATTTCATTACCTATTATCTTGTTTATCTGATCTGGCATTGTCTTGTATCAGTTCATTACCTCTCACCAATAGTAATTATGATATTGCCTGGAAGACATTAATGAATCGTTACTACAACCAACGTTTATTGACTTCAGCCCACTTGGATTTTCATTTCGCCCAATGGTTGCAGAATCATTGCCGTCTCTTCTGAACTTCATTAATATTTTCTAATAAAATGTTGCCGCGATTACTGCGCTTGGTGTAGACAATCTGTCTGACTTTATGTTATTTTATATTGGGTCGTGGTTATTGAACCCGATTACTCGACAATTGTTCGAAGCCAGTGTTTTGCAGGAAACTATTCCTACTTTTGATTCTTTGCTTACGTTCGTTCATCACCGTTGTAGAATCCTGGAGAATACAAAAGGTCCAGACAATGATCGAACCGAAAAAAAACACACACGACTCAAGGATTATAAGACAACCAGGTCATCTCTTACTACTACATCAACTAGCAAAAAGGGGTCCAATCCAAAATGTCCATGTTGTATAGGAGAACATTTTGTGTATCGTTGTCAAGTTTTCAAGGATCTTTCAATACAAAAACGACGGGATACGGCGTTGTCAACAAAATTGTGTTTTTCATGTTTAAGTCCTTCACACACGGCAAAAGCATGTAAATCTAAATAGTCATGTTCAGTGTATAAAAAACGACACCATTCTTTAATTCATCAAGATTCCATCTCGTCATGTGTTGTATAAGAAAACGATCCTATTCAAAGCACTTCACAAGATAACATTACTAAGTTCTCTGGGTTGTCCTGCGCCACTTCCACGGTCGTGTTGGGAACCGCCATAGTTCCTATGCGTGACTGCCGTGGTGATTATCAAACCGTTCGTGTATTATTGGATAGTAGATCACAAGTATCAGCCATGACCATGCGATGTGTATCAAAGCTAGGCCTTCCCAGACGCTGATGTCAAATAGGCATAGTTGGTTTATCAAAAAAATCAATAGATAACGTAAAAGGGATTACCAGTTATCACTTTGTACCATGGCAACAACATGAACCTTCGTTCTGTAGTTCTGACATCATTATTTTACCTCAGATTACCACTAACATGCCTTCTGTGCCATTACCACCTTGTGTTCGTCAGTTTTACGGTCATCTATCATTAGCTGACCCTTCATTTGATGTTCTCTCGTCATTAGATATGCTCATTGGTGGAGATTGGCTTCCTCACATAATGAAGCACCGAGCCGACATTTTACAATTTCAAGGTTTGCCGTCAGCGGTGGATTCTTTCTTGGGATGGGTTGTTTTCGGACTCCTTGATGAACAGAATGCGTTTTATGCTCACTCGTTGTCAGTAACGTCATCTTCCTTAAATGACATGATTCAATCTTTCTGATCAGTTGAAGAAATTACGCAACCAAAAAGTCCCACCACTGAAGACCACCAATGTGAGAAAAGGTTCTCAGAAACGACAACGCGTGATGAACATGGCAGGTTCTGTGTTGCACTTCCATTTACAGATACGGTATTGTCTTTGCAAAACCATTCGAAATTCAAAAAGAATCAAGCCCAATTCCCCTCCAGTATGTTTTTGCAAAATCATGGCCTAGGTGAGTCTTGCTCACTTGCGCAAAAACGCTTATTCAATCTTGAAAGCCGTTTAAATAAAGATCCAGCATTATACGCCGAATATCAACAATTTATGAAGGAATACTTGGCTCTGGGTCATATGAAAAGAGTGACTCAGGCTGGAAAATATTTCATCCCGCACCATGCTGTCGTGAAACGTGACGGTAAAAAGATCGAAAAGTTGCGTGTTGTGTTCGATGCATCTGCTGCTACATCGTCGGGTTTATCGTTAAATAACGTCCTTATAGCTGGCCCTAAGTTACAGATTGATATTTTTGATATTTTTGTAAGGAGTAGGTTAAAACGTTATTTGTTGACCGCAGACATAACCAAAATGTATCTACAAATTTTGTTAAAACCCAACGATTGTGCGTACCAACATATATTATGGCGTGAATCTCCTGAGGAAGAAGTGATTGAATATAAACTTCGTACTGTCACTTATGGCGTTACTTCTGCTCTATATTTGGCTATTCAATGTTTGCATGAATTAGATGCTCAGGCTGGTTCAAAATTCCCAGCCGTGAAAAATATTCTCAATCGCCAAACGTACGTTGATGACATCGTGGTAGGAACAGATACAGAAGTGGAGTTATCTATCATTCAACGAGACATCATCGGCTTATTGAATTCTTGTGGATGCACCTTAAAAAAGTGGACAAGCAACTGCCCGGTTATCTTAGAGAATATCGACACTAAAGATCACGCAAAATTATTATCATTGGATCCCAAAGGTGAGGCCTCTGTGAAGGTTTTAGGCCTTCATTGGGATCCATCATCAGATCATTTTGCTTACCACACAAGTCTTCGCCCGGGTCAATATACAAAACGAAAAGTGCACTCAACTATCGCTAGACTATTTGATCCAATTGATTTCTTAGGACCCACACTATTATGGGCCAAGATTTTTATGCAAGAATTATGGAAACTGTGTCTGCATTGGGACACACCACTTCCAGCACATCTTCACTGTAGTTGGGATCAATTTGTAAGAGAACTACCAGCACTAGATTCAATTATTCTTCCTCGACATATTGATATCGATCCCATACGGAAATTCAACTAATAGGATTCTCTGATGCAGCATCAAATGGTTATGCTGCTAATGTATACTTACGAGTAATAAGCACTTCAAATTCTATCAACGTTTATTTTGTTACTTGAAAGACAAAGGTCACACCATTAAAGGCTGCTGACCCACAGGCATCACTATCCATACCACGACTGGAACTTTGTGGAGCATTATTATTAGCTCAAACATTAAATCGAGTCAAAACTTTACTTATGTCTGAAATTTCCATTTCACGAGTACTTGCTTGGACTGATTCTACAGTTGTCTTATCGTGGTTGACTGCTCCTCAAAAAACTTTTAAAATTTTTGTAACAAATCGAATTGCAAAAATACACTTTCTCCTTCCAGATTGTGAGTGGGCCTACGTAAATACAAAGGAAAATCCAGCCGATCCTGCATCTCGAGGTCTTCTTCCTGCTGCAACAGTTGCCTGTAAAAGACACAGAGAAGGACCGGACTTTCTTCGTTTTTCATATGCTCAATGGCCCAAATATAATTTCATTCCAATTACACCTGAGAAATTGCCCGAATTTCAGCCTCCATCTGTTTTCATAAGTACCATAACTAGCACCGAACCACAAGATGACATTTTACAACGTTTCTCGTCCTTTATTCGTATGCAACGGACATTCGACGTCTTGCTATCAAGGCCCATCGTCAACCAATGCCAGATGGTCCCTTGAAACAAGAGGAGTTACATCATATTCTCATTCACGCAGTTTTGATTACTCAAGCCAGATACTTCCCGGAACTCAAAGGTCAATTAATAAAAACAGATGGTATATTAAAGCCAGCCACCATAGCTCAATTAGCCCCATTTATCGACCCACTTGGAGTGATTCGGGTGGGTGGTCGACTTCGTTATGCTTCTTTGGATTCGGATGCCAAACAACCTATCTTGTTACCGAAAAGATCTCACTTGACTCAATTGATCATTCGACATTTCCACCAAGGATTCTTACATACCGGTCTTAAACTTGTCCTATCAATGATCAGAAGACAGTTTTGGATTCTGTCCAGTAGAGATGCGGTTCGCCAATTTATCTTTTCTTGTGTAACTTGTATTCGTTTTAAGACATGTCGTCCACACCCAATCATGGGAAATTTGCCATCATCGCGCGTCCAACAAAACAGGCCTTTTTCGCAGGTCGGTATGGACTATGGTGGTCCGTTTTTAGTCAAGGAGAGTCGCCGCCGTAATCCACGCACAAATAAAATGTATTTAGCTCTATTTATATGTATGTCGGTTAAAGCAGTTCATTTGGAAATTGTGTCGGACATGTCATCCACTGCATTTTTAGCTGCATTCAATCGATTTGTAGCTCGTCGTGGTATACCGTCCAATATATACACAACAACTAAAGGCGTTATTTCAGGATAATCAAACTCAGACGAATGTTTCTACACATATACCTTGTCAATGGCATTTCACTCCTCCTGCAACTCCACACTTTGGTGGGCTTTGGGAGGTGGCTATAAAGAGTGTGAAACATCATATGAAGCATGCGATTGGAAAACAAATCCTAACACATGAAGAATTGTTAACATTAGTGACTCGCATAGAAGGAATTTTGAACTCCAGACCTCTAACCCCACTCTCATCTGACCCTAATGATATATTTGCTTTGACCCCCGGCCATTTTCTAATAGGTCAACCTATCATAGCTGTGCCCGATCCTGATGTTATTTCATGTCCAATGAATCGTCTCGACCGCTGGGAGCTACTCCATCAATGCCATCAAACGTTTTGGAAACGATGGACTCGGGAATATCTTACCACCCTCCAAGGACGTCTCAAATGATACCAACCCACACCAAATTTATCCGAAGGAAACCTAGTCATCGTGGAAACTCCAAATCGCCCACCTACGGACTGGCAATTAGGTCGTATCATTGCA